AGTAGTAGTAGTAGTAGTAGTGGTAGTAGCAGTAGTATCAGTAGTAGTAGTAGTAGTAGTAGTAGTAGTAGTAGTAGTAATAGTAGTAGTAGTAGTAGTAGTAGTAGCAGTAGTAGTAGTCGTCGCCGTAGTAGTAGTAGTAGTAGTAGTCGTAGAACTAGTTGGAGTAGCAGTTGTAGTCGTAGTAGTCGTTGTGGCAGTATAGTCGGAGTAATAGCAGCGGCAATAGAATCAGTCTTCGAGTCACAGGCGGGGCATGGCGAATTGGAATCGTGAAGCAGCCGAAAATGATTCGTGTTTTCAAACGTATGCGAAGCGCAAACGGAAATCACATGCAACGTAGACGCCAACGAAACGCTTGTGAAACGCATCTGGTACGCCTCCGCAACGTGTCTGAACCGTAATCGAAATGTAGATTAACATTACATGCGCCTCATTCGGCATGTATTTGAGACGCAGATGCAAGCGTGCACGAAACAGAACAGGAACGTAGACGACACGCACACAATACGTACCCGGAATGGATATGGGATCACACATTCAACCATACGAACGTATGGAGCAAAACACATCCGCAACATGTGCGACGCATGGACGGAGCGTAAGCAATACGTGTGCGGAACGTACATGGACCGTGTATGCGACGCATTCAACACGCATGCACATTGTATACATGACGTATACGCATTGCAGCGACAATTATGCGAGACGTGCCAAGCACGCGAAAGCTGAGAAGAAGTGCCGTTTGAAGCTGCTAAGGGGCGCCGTTCTATCTGCTAAGGAGCGCGTGGGACATTTGCATTCAACTTCGAACGTTTCACGATCTTCAGAACCTTCATCCGGGGAGTGGACCAGTTCAGTTCACTGGGGAATTGGGGAAATGATTTCTTCATCGCCTCAAAATCTCGTAGCGATTTTGGGACAGTAAAATCCTGGGAACGGGCCCCCGCGCGGCTTCCACCCCTCGGGGCCTCCGCAGAGCAGCCAGCTGCAGGCGCAGACAGTGGGCCGGGCCAGATGGCAAGAGACGCCCGCCAGCGGGGATTGGCAGCGTTGGCGCTGGCGGTGGAGGCCAGGTGTCGTCTGGGACCGTTGTCCCCCGCCTTCCCGGCGCAGGCCACCCGCGACATGGGCAGATTGCCCGAGAACCCCCTTGGCGCCTCTGGCATGCCGTCACGAGCCTCCCCGAGAAGGGCGCGGACGAACCACGCACCCCCTGATGAATTTCAGAAGCGGGCCGCATGGATAGATTTCTGCGTTTGGAGGAGCGCGCCGCAGCGCGCGAGTGCAGTCCAACTGTGGGGAGAAGCGGCCGCGCTTGCAGGCGAACCGCCCTGGCCCGCCGATCGTTCAACTCTCTCTGTGCATTTGCAGGCCCGCTTCGTCGCGGCGCCTCTCTGGGCCGATGCATGTCCCACATTCGTTCTGTGGTGGCGTTGCTGCGCCCCCCCGGGTGAACTCGCTGACGGAGTGAGCATTGCGCCGGGCGCAGACAACGCGTTCGCGTCGAACGTGCGCCCGAAGGTTTGGACGTCGGCGGCCAAGGCGAGATCGCCGTTAGCCTGGGGCCCTCGCGCAGGTCGGTCCGACTTGGGCATGTCCTGGGCGGTCTCGCGCCAGCGTCGGGCCCCGCGCTCGCACCGTTCCGGCCGGTTCAACGGCGAGGGCGGCGACGCAGAAGCATTCGCTGCTATCGGAGGGAGGACATGCTGCACGGTGCCAGTGGGAGGCTGAGGTCACGCGCAAGCGCCTGCGTGCCGGGGCCTGGCGATCGCCGCGCTGGGCGCGCGCGTGGCGCGAGGCGGCCGGGGCCGACCGCGCCCCTCTGGCACGTGTCGCGTGCCCACGCGCCCTTGCATATCTGACGAGTGGGGCGTCGGCCCCCACTCGTCGGGAGGGGAGGTGGGGAGAGGAGGAGGAGGAGGAGGAGGAGGAGGAGGAGGAGGAGGAGGAGGGAGGAGGAGGAGGAGGAGGAGGGAGGAGGGAGGAGGAGGAGGAGGAGGGAGGAGGAGGAGGAGGAGGAGGAGGGAGGAGGAGGAGGAGGAGGAGGAGGAGGAGGAGGAGGAGGAGGAGGAGAGGGAGGAGGAGGAGGAGGAGGAGGAGGAGAGGAGGAGGAGGAGGAGGAGGAGGAGGAGGAGGAGGAGGAGGAGGAGGAGGAGGAGGAGGAGGAGGAGGAGGAGGAGGAGGAGGAGGAGGAGGAGGAGGAGGAGGAGGAGGACGCGCAGCGCTGGGGCGCGCGCGCCTTCAGGAGGGGCTTCGCCAGCGATGCGCTGCGAGCGGGAGGTCCCTCTGCGCCGTTCTGCTCTGGCGGGTTCTGGCGAGGCGCGGGGGCTTCCGGGCGCGCCGCGGCGCAGTCCCGCGGCGAGTTTGCAGCGGCCACGCGGTTAGCAGGGCGTTAAGGGCCCGTCGGGGAGGGGGAGTGCGCCGGCGCAGCCGCGAGCCGCTCCTGTGCAGATCCGCTCGGATGTATCGGGCGTTCCCGCCCGAAGTGCGTCGGCCCACGTCGGCCTCGGCGGCGGGACCGCCGTCCCGCAGCAAGCCCACTCTAGATGTAATGGTCCGCTGGAGTAATTCCCGATTGGGTCAGCCTGGTGGCGCCTCTTGTTCCAGATGCCGAACGCGGGGGCCGCGCAAGGCGCGGCCCTGCAGAATTTTCATCGCCCCAAAATCTCGCAGCGATTTCGGGGGTGGGAGAATTTTGGAAACGGGCTCCTGTGTGGCCCCTACCCTGCGGGGCCTTTGTTGTCTCCGTTGGCGGCCAGTTCACTGCCTGGCAGTCCCTATGCGGCACGGCGGATTCTTCTCGCGGTCGGTGGCCGAATGCCGGCGGACTCGGCGCGGGGTGCCTGGCCCCTGCCTCCCCTTGCCCCGGCCTCCATTTCCATGGGCGGCGATTGGTTGCTTGATTGGCTTGCTGCTCCGGGCCGGCGGGTGCCTCGCGGCCCCGCGGGGCGAGTCGACGCGCGCAGGAAACGCGCGCAAAGGCCGCCCGCGCTCGTTGCTCGTAACCCACCCTCGCCCACCGCGCCGCGCTGCGCGCGGGTTCGCGTCTTCGCCCCTGCCAGGCGGGCCGCTGGAGCAATTCCAGATGGGGCCAGCCTCGCGGCGCCTCTTGTCCCAGATGCCCAGCGGTGGCGCGAGGGCGCCGGCGGCTAGGATTTCGCATGGCGCGGTCGTGCAGGATTTTCGGTGCCCGCGTGCGCCTGGCCCTCCAACGTCGACAGGCCCGGCAAGAAGACGGCTTCTTGGCCGTGGGCGGACAAACCCGCAACGGCGGGGACCGGCAGGCGACAGGTCAGAGGACAGAGGCTCGAGGCGCCCATCAAAATGGAAGACGAGAACACAGGGCTGCCCCTGCCTCTCGGACGCGCCCGCGCTGGCAGGAGAGCCAGGAGGCAGCCGGCTGAGGAGGGCGACGACAGCGGCGGGCGTCCACGCGACCCTTCGGGACGAGGGCCTCGCCCGCGCGGCGGCAGGAGAATCGCGGGGCAGCCCGCGGAGGGCGGCGCCGGCAGCGGCGGGGCCCCGCGAGACTCTAGGGGCGGGGGCCACGTCCGCGCGCTGGCGGGGGCGCCGGCCGCCGCGCGGCCCCGCGACGAGACGGGCCCGCCAGTCCTCGGCAGCGCGAAGGCGCCGGACGCGACGAAGCCCTCGGGATCCGCGCGGCGCCCGCGGGATGCGAGGTGGCGCACGGGCGGCGCGGCGAAGGCCTCCCAGGAGCTCCAGGATAGCATCTTCGGGGAGAGGGGGGGCGCGCGCAAGGGGGGCGGCCGCCCGCGGGGCGGCCCGAGAGGCCGCGCCCGCCGCGGCTTTTCGGGCCGCGGCAGTAGCTCCGCTGCCCGCTCGGAATACCTGTCCGCTCGGGGGCCGTCGACCGCGCGCCCCGGGGCATGGCCCGGGCGGGGCTCGGCGACGGCCCCCCGAGCAGGGAGGGGCTCCCAGCGGCTGCGTGGCGCGCCTCGGCGAGAGTCGTGAAACGCCCCCGCCCTCGGCTGGGATCCTCCGCGGCGGGGGCAGCCTTCCTGCCTCGGAGATCCCCGCCCCACGTCCGGCGGCGGCGGCGGGGGTCGAGGGCGGGAGGGGGGGGCTGCAGCCGCGGAGGACCTGCTGGGGGGCGTGCAGGGCTTCGAGACCGAGCCTCTCGGCCCCTGCGCGTGCGAGTGGCGAGGGGCGGCGACGATGTCGTGACGAGGGGGAGAAGGATAGAGGTGAGAAGGTAGCTGGGCTCCCGACGCGGCCAGCGTCTGGTGGGCCCGGTCCTGGGAGTGGCAAGGGCCCTGCGCACGGATCCCCCAGCACCGCCGCCCGTAAAAGAGGTTTCGCCATTGCCTTCATCTTTTTTTACCACCATTGCACCGCTATCAGGGTTCATCGAGGGTACGCCTCTGTGCGACAGCACGTACGTGTATCCTCTTCCTCTGCCCACCGTACGTTTCCATTTGGGCTCAGCACTCGGCCGTTTCAGAATAACCCACCCACGACCACCCTGGGGCATCATGTTCCTCGGACGCACAGGGCCCTGGGCACCGCAACCAGTACAATGGTCACCGCCCACCACCTCCATATGCCACCATCGCACCGCTAGCAGGGTTCATCGTTTTTCAGCCTGACCATCTTATCCTGCTGTCCGTCGTTTTCTTCTTCCGTATCCTTAAATACTGCCAGTTGCCTTCGTCTTGTTCATTATAATGCTCCTGCTGCTGCTCCGTCTATCATCCTCATCGCGCCTCCCGCCTTCCCATTTTCACCTCCCCCAAGTGCTGTTTGCTTCAAGCTTCTCCTGCTTTCGCTGTTCGTATTTCACTTCTCCACCAGTCCCCCCCTCCGCTACCGTCAAAGAGGACGGGGGCAGCCACGTGCCTTGGCATGGGCGCAAAGGACGGAGGCCACGTGGGCGGCAACGGGGAGGGCGAGAGGGATGCAGGACGGGCGGGCAGGAAGAGCGCCAGTCGCAGCGGGAGGGAGACGCAACAGGACGAGCGGCGCCGGGAGGGGGGCAGGTTCTGCCAGACACCGTCTGCACTGTGGACCTTGTGGACTGCGACCTGTTCAATTGGGAGATTGCGCTGGCGGGCCCAAGTGGTACCACTCGGGAAAATGGAGGAGGGATGATTGACAGGATGGGGATGAAGGGGGAATCGCGGGGTGATGCGGACAGACGAGGGAGGGTAGTGACAGAAACGATGAGTGACATGTACGCTGTAAGACAAGGGAGATGGACAAGGACAAGAAGCGGGACAATAATGAATAACGAGGGTTGCAAGGAGGACGGACTAAGAGGCTGAGGAGCGTGGAAGGGGTGTGATGAGGAACGGGGAGGATGCAGGATTGATGTACGCACGAATGGATCGGCGGACTGAGTGATGGACGGAAAAAGCGCAGGTGGGGGCACGGCAGGGTCAGGCAGGCATGCAGTCCTACTACGATCAAGTCGTCCGCGAGGCTTGGACTCGCACCGTTGGAGAGCACCACCTGGGGGACGCCGGCGCAGAGCGCAGCGGTGCAGAGTATGTGTTGGCCTACAGCCCACAGCCTGGCAAGCACGGGGTCAGGTCACCCCTGACCCATACAAATCAGGATCGTTTCACCTACCCCTATCCCCCCCCCATCCCTTTTCCCATTCATGCCCCCATCACCTCAGCATCCCAGTTGGAGATACACGCCTCGAAACCCGAAGGAACGGCCTATATCCCATCTAGGCCAGCAAATCGGCCAGTGGGGCCCAGGCCATGCCCGTTGGGATAGCGGTCGGTTAAAGGATGCTCAACTAGGTACCCAGGTACCCCAGCGGGGGAGAAATAGCTTGAGAAGAGCGAATTGTACGCCTTGCCCGGCATCGCCGCGGCGGCGCCGTGGCTTGGCGCCAGCGCGGCTCAAGTGCATGATAATTTGGCTTATTTTGCGGATGTGTGGGCTATGTGAGAATATGGATATGTTCGGGCAACAAACAATGACATAAACATGAAAGCTCGGAGGGCCGCACAAATTCCTCGGATCGGCGCTGGGCCCCCCTGGCGGCGCCTCTGGCGCCGCCCCTAGCGCGCTCCGCGCGCCGGGGAGTGGGGTCCAGTGCCGATCCGAGGAATTGGTACAGACCTCCAAGTGCTTCTGTTCACGTCGTTGTTTGTTCCACCAGTGGTTGGTCGGTGGGTACTGCGGGGTACGAGCCTCTGGGCCACCGCATCAACTTCGGGTGTGCGCGGCAGGCAGCTGGCCATCCAGCAGCAGGGCCGTAGTCTCAAAGGCTGAGAGGGGATTTCGGGCGAGGTGCTTGCAACGGGGATTGCGGCGCTCGAGCCGCTGCTGCATGTTATGGTTTGGTGTCACCCAACCATAACATGCAGCAGCGGCTCGAGCCCACCCACCCGCTATCTTCCTCATCAACTCAGATAGCGGGTGGGTGGGCTCGTACATGCAGGGGAGGCCAATTAAGCAGGCGGGCGGATTGATGCCCGTCAGGGCTCGCTGCGCCAGCCAGCCGAAAGATGATGCGCGCCTTGCCCATGCACCACGTCCTCTGAGAGTCCCCTCAGACCACCCGTTACCACCCGGGCTGTGATTTCAGATCAACATGCGTGAATCCGTGTTAAGGAAGAGGGTCATGAGCAGGATCGCAGCCTAGGACGTAGCACGGGTAGGAGGAGCGGGGAAATCAGAGGGAACAGTAGTGGGACGGGGAAGGAGGAGATCAGAGCAGGGTGGTGGGGATGGGGGAGGATGGGAGGGGGAGAAACATGGGGACGGGGAGAATGGAGCGGATGATGAGAATCAAAAGTGTCCGAGAACGCGCGCCAGTGAGCCATAAAGAGCTATGGCGCCAATGCGATCTCACTGCGCCCCTTTGGGAAGTGGCTGTGGAATTCGCGCGCAGCGCAACCACATAACAACGACACACAGCAAATAGGAGCAGGAGGAGGAGGAGGAGGAGGAGGAGGAGGAGGAGGAGGGCCTGCAGGAGGAGGGCCTTGAGGAGGAGGGGGAGGAGGACGAGGAGGAGGAGGATTAGAAGGATGAGGATGATGATGGGAAGATAAGGAATAAGGAGGTTATGGCTTTGAACGCTGACCGGGAGGATGACCGGGAGGATAAGGAGGAGAAGGAGGAGGAGGAGGAAGAGGACGAAGAGGATGGGTCATGGAGGGCGATACTGGTGCATCAGGAGCATCGGGAGCACGGGCGGTAACGAGGAGCACGAGGAGGACGAGGAGTACGAACAGGAGCGTGCGGAAAAGCAGGGAAAGGACGAGAATGCTTAAACGGCGGAGGAGGAGGAGGAGGAGGAGGAGGGGAGGAGGAGGAGGAGGAGGGGCAGGAAAACGACAAGGAGCAGGAGGGGGAGGAGGAGGAGAGAGGAGGAGAGGAGGAGGATGAGGAGGAGGAGGAGGAGTAGGAGAGGAGGAGGAGGAGGGAGGAGGAGGAGGAGGAGGAGGAGGAGTCGGTCGGAGGAGGAGGAGGAGGAGGAGGAGGAGGAGGAGAAGGAGGAGAAGGAAGAGGAGGAGGGGAGGAAGAGGAGAGAGAAGAGTAATCTGGTAAGAATCGAGGGGGGGGGGGGGGGGGAACAGGAGGACTCGCGGGAGCACGACGCAGAAGCCATGAGGAGGAGAGCGGAGGACGAGGGAGAGAGAATAGAGGTGGAGGAGGCACGGGGGGGGTAAGCAGGAGGAGGGCAGGGAAGCCCAGGCACCCCATACGAGGGAGGCGTGTTCCGGTTCCTGCTGAGCTTCCCGCCCGATTATCCCGCGGGCGGTCGCCGGCGCCGCCGCTCCCCCTCTGGTGCCGGTCTCGTGCCCCTGCCCGCTCTCCTGCTTCATATACCCTTGTTCCTCCTCACAAGAGGAGGAGGAGGAGGAGGAGGAGGAGGAGGAGGAGGAGGAGGAGGAAGAGGAGGAGGAGGAGGAGGAGGAGGAGGAGGAAGGAGGAAGAGGACGAGGAGGAGTAGGAGGAGGAGGAGGAGGAGAAGGAGGAAGAGAAGGAGGAGGAGGAGGAGGAGGAGGAGGAGGAGGAGGAGGAGGAGGTGGACGTGGAGGTGGAGGGGGAGCGGTAGGAAAGGCCGAAGGTGGAGCAGGGTGTCGAGGTTTGGCTGGCTCCTCTCCAGGCCAGGGTGGTGTTCTTATTGCCCGGCTGATTCGGACCTCTCGGCATCGTTTGCGCGGATGGTCTTCTCTTGGCGCCGCGCTTGGTGCCTCCCTGGCGTCGAGAGATTTTCGGATGCGTGGTGAGAGCACACAGACATCAGAGCAGCTGCGGATGAGGGGTGAATGGTATCAGCCGTGCGGGAAGCACGCGAAACGCCCTCGTCTACGAGGTCCGCGAGATGGTAGGTAGGCACGGACCGGCGAGAACACGGCTCGATGTCGGTGACGAGAGGAATCCGGGCGCAAGCCAGCGGCGTGGGTTGCCTTCTCCGCCCAGTCGCGGAGAAGGCGCGGCTGTGCCAGCGGACCCTGCCGCGGTTCCGAGGCTACGCTGCGCGACGCAGGTGTTTCACTGCAACATCGCCCGAGCCCCAGCTCTTGCCTGCAAGCCAAGGGGAAGACCAGGGCGGAAGCAGGCAGATGGGGATGGAGGAGCGGGAGCGGCGAGCGTGAGCCGCCCCAGGCGAGCCCCGAGAGGTGAGCGGGGTCGGGATCAGGAGCAGGAGGTAGAGGAACATGAGGAGGAGGAGGAGGAGGAGGAGGAGGAGGAGGAGGAGGAGGAGGAGGAGGAGGAGGAGGAGGAGGAGGAGGAGGTGCAGGGGGAGTACAAGGTGAGTGGTGGTGCTGGGAGGTGAAAAAAGGCGGAGGAGGAGGAGGAGACCTGAGGAGGAGGAGGAGGAGGAGGAGGAGGAGGAGGAGGAGGAGGAGGAGGAGGAGGAGGAGGAGGAGTACCCCCCAGATTTATCAATGATGCTGCAGTGCGCCCACCGCTCCCAAGCCCCTTCCCCGTAAGCCCCCCACACAAGAATAGCTTCACCGCGGGAGGTGCTCCCTCCAAGGACAGAGGCCCCATGGTCTTGCAGGTCAGGCCAGAGCCCTTTTCTGAAAAGGGGATGCCATCCATGTTTCGAGCTAGAAGGACGGCGACGAGGTAGTATCGAACATCTGAAGAGGAGGACCAGGCGTTGCTCCGCTCCTGCGGCGGCCCACACGCTGTCGGCTGGCAGACCGCTGCGCCCGGCGAGCCCGGGCAGCGCCTGGACGACCCTGATTTTCGCTCCTCGGCGCGCTGCTTGCTCGGCCGGGGCGCCGCACCCGCAGGGTCCACTTGCCAGAAATGCACCCGGACCGGGGAGCGGGCTGGCCAGCGCTGCGGCGACCGGCTCTGCGCCAGAGTTCATCACCCCTGGCGCTGCTCGCGCGGAGGCGGGCCGACGGCGGGCAGCGGCGACCTGGAGACCGAGTGGGGCCAGATCCGCGCCGAGTGCGGCCACCGCGTCGCGCGCCAGAGGCCCGTGCCGGCCTGGTACCGCTGGCGCTGGCACTGCGGCGGGCGGCGGCGCGGCGGCGCGCTTGGCGGCAAACGCGGCCTGACGGTTTGCGACCACTGCAGCAGTGGGCTGACGGCTCGGCGTGAGGAGGCCATCCTCGACTTGGAGATTCAGCGGGCTGACTGCCTGCGGGTCTTTATCGACGTCAAGGTGCGCCACGGCGTGCTGGGCGACGTCCGCGCAGGGCGGCGCTTTCTGCCGGGACGCGGAGGCGGACAAACGCCAGCGGTTCCCCACCGGGTGCGCGCCCAGGCGGATGGTGCCGCTAGCGCTCGAAACTGGCGGCCAGCACGGCCACGCGGCCCTCCGCCATCTGCGCGGGCTCGCGCGCGACCGCGCGCAGCTGCTGGCCAGAGACGACAGCGCGGCGGCCGCGGCGGCCGCCAGCCCCCTCACGCGCAGTTGGAGCGCGGAGGTAGCCGTGGCCCTGCAAACAGCCACTGCGCGTTGGCTTCGGATTGCGCTGGGGGCCGAGGCAGCCCGGCCGGGCGAGCGCACGGCCCTTGCCGCGGCGCTCTCCGGCTGAGCCGGCGCGGCGGCGCGGACCTGCAGGGCGGCTACCGGATGGACGCGGTGTCAGTGGAGTTCGGTGCGGGCGCATGCGCGGCCACGAGCGCGCTTCGGGGCTCGCTCAAGGAAGTGTCCAACGAGAGCCCCCGTTTGAGAAGGATCCGCTTTCCCTCCGCGCCAATGTTGTCCAACATGTGACGCCCGGCCGTGCAACCTAACATTATCGAGCGCGATATCGCTGATCAGAAAAAAAGATCCGCTCTCCATCCGTGCGGTTGCTGCCCAGTTTTAACAGTCGGATTTTGCGGGTTAAGAACGCCCCAGGCAAACGTCTTTGATGAAAAGAACCGCCCACCATCCTAGTAGTTGGTAGACATGTGAAAACACGCGTGTTTTTTGGCGGTGAGGCGGCCGCCACATTTTGAAAATGAGCCGCCTTCCAGTCGTGTGGTTGTGGGAAGTAGTAAGAGCAAACGTTCGCTGCGCGAGTCGCCTGTTGGAGAGAAATTGTCATTTATAGGTGTCGCGCTTGGATGTCTTTATGGCGAAAGCGCGGTGCGCTAAAGCCAGCGCCACATTGTGACAAGAAGTGATTCGCCATCGATGTGTACAGCTGTCAAATGTTTAATATGATTGTGTGCGGCGCTATTTCGAGCATCGCCGTTTGAAAAGGAAACGCCGTCGATCCGTGTAACCATTGGATGTTTCAAAATCCGGGGTTTCAAGGTTCGGGACCGCACGCATGGACGAAGTCTCAGCTGGAAACGGTCTGCCATAATATGGCGCGTGATTGTCAGGCGACGAAGGGTGATATACAAAAATCGTAGATCAATGCGTAAATATATGTATATACTCATGCGAATATCTGCACCAAGAAACACGGGGGTGAGGAGATGTGACCACAGGTTGTGGCGGGGAATGGCGGCAGGAGGCGCGTTCGTTTTTGTGTTTCTCGGATCCCTGGGGGCAAATCTCTGGGGAGCCACGCTATGGACAAACCTGCGTTGGATGTATGAGGCTCCGGGTTCGACGATCGATCGAGGATCGAGGATCGAGGCCCGATCGGGGAGGAAGGATTAAGGCCGAATCGAAGATCGAGGATCGGCCGAGGATCGAGGGTGAGAGCGGCACTCTCTCCGCGGCCGATCGCCGCCGGCCGAGGACCAGAACGGCACCGTCTGTCCGTCCCTGGTGGGCCACGGCGACGCGCTGCAGCTCGTCCTGGGCCTCCTGTCTCTGCTGACGCTGCCGCTGCCAGAGCAGGAGGGCCCCGCCTGGAGGGGAGGATGACGACCAGAATCGGAACTCAAGAGACGGGGGGTCGATGCAAGCGGGGGTCAGTCAGAGCGGCGAGTGGGAATTCGTGAGATTCCGGAGGGCTCTTCGTCAGTGCGGTGTGCTTCCCTCCCAGGTTCGCATTGTATTCAAGCTTGGGGTGAGACGTCTCACCCACAGAGTGCAGGCTGCGAACAGTATGATTGGCAATTCAGGTGCATATATTTTCAAGTATGCGACGAGCCTTAAATGGCTGGTTGGTTTGGGTAGGTAGGATGCGAGCCTGTCTGTCTAATAGCGACAGAAGCTGAAACGGACAACTCGGGAACCGACCAAATCTGAAACGGATATTGCGGGATCCGACAGTAGAGATTGACTCCGTAGCTATGGTGGCTCAGACCGCTTAGCGAACAAGGGCACTGGGCAGTTTCGCAGAGTCTGCCCGAGCCACAGAAAAGTGAGTTCGAAGTATCTTCTTCAGCACCCTTCCAACTCAAGAGACGGGGGTCAGTGCAAACGGGGGTCAGTCAGAGTGCCGAATCTTTCAGGATCCTGCTGGGCCAGGGTCGCATTGACCCGGGTTGGGGTGCAGAATCCTGCAAGATCCTGTAGGATTTTGCAGGATCCTGCAACGCCTGGCTGACCCGGGTTTGGAGTGACCCGGGTCAGTAGATCCCCGAAAGGAGGGGAATCCGAGGATGAAAGGTACCCCTACCGCTACCTTTCCTTTGTTTCTCCCTTCTTCGGTTTCCTGGAAGGCCCTCGCCACCACCGCTGGATTCGCTTCGAAATCCTTAAGAACGCGCCCACGGAAAGGTCCGGGGAGTAGCAGTATCAGGACTTTGTGGTTTCCCCGAGGATGACGACCAGGAGGGGAAGGATCTTCTAGTAACTCCCGCGCGCTTGAGCTGTTTTTTTTCGCGCGGCTCATGCCATCCTTTTAAATGAGGCCCGCTGTGTTGTGCAGCGCCCGCTGCAACCATACGTTCTCCAAATAGGCTTGCCCTATAGGAGTCCTAGCTCAAACCCTACTAATTGGTCAGTTGCCCCCCCCAACTCCTATGCCCCCCCTAATTCCTATGGCTATGCCTATGCCCATGCCTACGCCTCCCCCCTAACTCCTATACCTACGCCTATGCCTATGCCTGCTTGCTTGCTTTCTTGCTTGCTTGCGCGCTTGCGTGCTTGCTTGCTTGCTTGCACGCTTGCTTACTTGCTTGCTTGCTTGCACGCTTGCTTGCACGCTTGCTGAGTTGCAGATTCCAAGCATGCTTGATTCCTCTGATTCCTTGATTTGAGTCGTCTAATCGTTTTGGGGTCAACGCTGGCAGATTTTTTTGTTTTCCTTCACGCACCCTCTGTGCTCATTCATCCCCCTCACTCCCCAGTGAGAAATGGGGCGAGAGGCTGGTCCTTCAAAGTGTCTTTCTACAGGGTCGCTCCGGTGGACAACGGAAGCAGTGTGCCCTGCGGCCGTCCTAAGCGACTCCGTGCGTCGCGGGCTTGCGGCACGGATGTATATTTTGGGTTCGTCCGTTTGGGAAGCAGCAGGTTCGTCAACGGCCGTGCGACACGCATGTGGCTTGCAGGATCAATGAGCGGTTGTCTCTTCAGCCTTGCAAGGCCCTCTTTGCCCAGCCTTGCGTACCGCCGTTGCTGCAACCACCACGCCGCCTTCGCAGCACGCCCCAAGCATCTACGTTGGCTGCTGGCTCCCTGGTGTGTTCATTTCAGAGTTTTATAGCAGCACGGACTGATTACCACTTGAAGAGGTCGCATAGGCCGGGACGGCATGCCCACTCCGCATCTGAGAACGTCGTTTGAAGTGAAGCCCGCCCTCGACGAAGCTGGCACTTGGCAGGAGCTCTCACGCCTGAACTTGTGATGCGTCCTGTAACGGCTTGATGCGGTTTCTCCCCAGGTTGGCCTTTGTAATCTGGATGCCGCCTTCCCTGATGGGCCTGCTTTCCACCTCCACCACCATAAGTTGGAGGGGGAGGGGTTCCTCCTCCTCCTCCTCCTCCTCATCATCCTCCTCATCCTCCTCTTCGTCTTCCTCCTCGTCCTCCACCTCCTTCCCCCGTCCAACTTATGGTGGTGGTGGTGAAAAACAGGCCCATCATTCCCAGGCCCGCACACTTCTTGATGCCCCGAGGCTCCATTGGCCATTTCTGGGCGGGCCCCCTCGGGGGAGCCACGGCCTGTGGCCGCGCGTGCGGTCTCTCGGGCTCGGGAAGTCCTCTGGGCCCCTCGCTGCCACGTGTGATATTCCTCCTCCTGCTCCTCCTGCTCCTCCTCCTCCTCCTCGCGCCCAGGCCAGCAATCTAGACCCTCTAGGTGGGAGCCGAATAGACGGGATCGGAGGAAGGCATCGCCGATGCGTTATCAGTGCATCGTCGACGCGTCGGCGACGCAGTGATCGAGCTTGGGCGCATGGGCGATGCATCATCCATGCGTCATCGATGCATGGTCAACGTACCATACGAACGGATGCCCTGCGCTAGTGACGCTCGGATATCCCCTTCACAGCGGAGGGGAATCCGAGCGGATCCAAGGATCCTTTTGCCGATCCGAGGACAGCCGTTACGATACAGCACCTCAGTCAGCAGTCCACGGATTCGTTTTCGATCGGTGGATTCATTTCTCGTTCTGCAATTGGACCAGCGACATGTGGTCCATCCGCGGGTTCATCTTTCGAATCCGCGGATGTTCCACGGATTCATGTTTCATTGCATTGTTTTTTTTGTTTTCTATCTGCGGGCTCATATCCCGCGGAGTCATTTGTAGATTTGCGGTTCGAGCGTCGCCCGCTCATCGCCGATGCATCGGCGATGCGGCGCTCTCCTTCGACTCCCGCATGCTCCGATCAGTTCCCAATCTGCCCGCACGGCAGGCCACGCGAGGCACTCCAGCATCGCCCAAGGATCTCCTTGCCTATGGACTTGGCGGTCACCTCATCGACATCTTGGTTCGACCGTGTCCCCTCTCCCATTGACGGCGCGATTTGTCACCACCCACCAACCATCCCAACCCAACCCAAAGGCCCCGACTTGCCCTCCATTCCCGCTGGGGTCGGTATCGCGGAACACTGCACAACAACGCATGTGGAACCCGTTCCCCCCCCAAACCCGAAATTCCCGTTTTCGGATTAGGTTGGGGTGGTCTTGTGGGTGGTCAGTCTGCACCTCGCCACATCACGGCCTGGAGAGGGCCGGGAACAGATGTTGGACAGGACAGGCAGGGCAGGAGAACCCGAACGCGGCCTACGCACTCAAGCAAGTGCGACGCAGCGCGGAGGGACTCAGCGCTCTGAACTCCGAATCCGCTTGAGCAGAATGGGAGCAGTAAGCAATGAGGGCTGTGGACGGAAGGGTGACGAGAATGAGAGGGGATGCTGATGATGATGATGATGATGATGATGATGATGATGATGATGATGATGATGATGCTGATGGCCATGATGATGCTGATGATGCTGATGGTGATGATGATAGTCGTGATGATGCTGATGATGATGATGATGATGCTGATGCTGATGATGATGATGCTGATGATGATGATGATGATGATGATGATGATGATGACGATGGTTGTGATAATGGTGATGATGATGCTGATGATGATGAGGAGGAGAAGGAGGAGGAGGAGGATGCGCACCAATAATGTTGATTGGAAAGTGTAAGGAGTACAACCGACTTTTATCCAACGGCTACGTGAAATTGGCCCTCTTCGCTTGTCACGCTACCAGAACAGAGTGTGTCGCACATCATCGACCAAGCATGGATCCTTTCGGATGCTCGCCAGGGCAGAGCGTTCTGCACTTAGTCGTCTATCGTGTACACGCCGGTCGTTGAAAGTGCATATTTGGGGACTCCCAGATCCCAATCTACTTCAGGCGCTTTGCTGCTTCAAGAGTCGTTGCTGTGTTCGGTTTGTTCTGGGAAGGCCTGAACTCAATCTGTTTGATCCGCTTTCCCACTTCATGTGTTTTACCTGTTTGTTCCCACCGACGTGGAAGCAACTCTTGGGCCTGCTCCTGGGGTGTCGCGCTGGAGGAGGAGGAGGAGGAGGAGGAGGAGGAGGAGGAGGAGGAGGTGCGAGGAGGAGGAGGAGGAGGAGGAGGAGGAGGAGGAGGAGGAGGAGGAGGAGGAGGGAGGAGGAGGGGGAGGAGGAGGGGAGGAGGAGGAGGAGGAGGAGGAGGAGGAGGGAGGAGGGAGGAGGAGGAGGCGGGGAGGATAACGACGGAGGAGGAGGAGGAGGAGGAGGAGGAGGAGGGAGGAGGAGGAGGAAGGAGGAGGGACGGAGGAGGAAGGGGGAGGGGAGGAGGAGGAGGAGGAGGAGAGGAGGAGGAGGAGGGAGCGAGGAGGAGAGGAGGCGGAGGGAGGAGGGAGGCGCAGGGAGGAGCAGGAGGAGCAGGAGGAGCAGGAGGAGGAGGATGTTCGTGCTGGCTGCGTGTCGCAGCTCCGGGCCTGGCCGCGCCGCGGAGCTCCCGTGCCGGCGGCCGCTGGGCCGAGCGGCCTCGCCTCGCTGCAGGGGCCCCCCCCCGCTCGGGCCAGGCGCTCGTGCCGGACGTGGCGCACCTCCTCGCCACGAACAGGCCAGCGTCCCCCACATCCCTTGATTTGCATTTTGGCGTCCTCCATCTCCTCCTCCTCCTCCTCCCCTCCTCCTCCTCCTCCTCCTCCTCTCCTCCTCCTCCTCCTCTCCACCTCATCCTCCTCCATCTCCACCTTCCTCCTCCTCCTCCTCCTCCTCCTCCTCCTCCTCCTCCTCCTCCTCCTCCTCCTCCTCCTCCTCACCCTCCTCCTCCTCATTCTCGCCCCTCCTCCTCCCCCCTCCCCCTCCCCCCTCGCCCCTCCCCTTCCCCCTTCCCCCTCCTCCTCCCCCTCCCCCTCCTCGCCACGAATGGGCCTGCGCTCCACCCCCCCCCGTGTGCAGAACTACGGCAGGTTCGTGTCGTGTCGACCAGCGGCGGTTCAACGTTGCACGCCGGTGGCGGACAAGCATCGGTCGATGTTGAACGATCGCGCGTTGCGTAAACGGGGCGATCGTTCAAGGTTGAACGATCCCCGCAGTGTCAGGAACCAACGCCCGGGTCCCCCTCGGGGGAACGTAAGACTCGAGTAATCCGGATCGGGTCTGCCGACGTTTTTTGGTCGAGCGCGTCCTGCGTTTTGGCGATCCAGATTTCGTGGGATGTCTGCAGCGGGAGCTCGCGTCACATTTCAGATTGGATCTCGCCATTTTTATGGTAGCCTGTTCAGGCCATCCCGAGTCCCCCGTACCCGAGTCTTGCATCTCTCCGACCCCCGTGTGCAGAACTATCGAAGACGCCTACGGCGAATCACCGCCGCCCCCTGCCCCTTTGGAAGCACCTCTGTGGCCGACAGCTGGGCCAGAGCTTGGCCAAGCTATCGGGCCAGTTGTTCCCCGAGTCGGTTTGGAAAGACTTCGGGGAACACATGGGGGAGCAAGAAGAGGAGGAAGGGGAGGATGAGGAAAAAAGAAGAGGAGGAGGAGGAAAAGGAGGAGGAGGAGGAGGCGGAGGAGGAGGAGGAGGAGGAGGAGGAGGAGGAGGTGGGGCACTTCTGGGGCCTCCTGGGAGCTTGCTGGGAGCCTCTTGGAAGGTTTTTGGTTGCCTTTGGGGACTTCTAAGGGGCCTCTTTGGCAGTCTTAGGGCGTTCCTGGCTTGCCTGACGCCGTTGGAAGCCGTAATGGGGGCCTGTCTGGGTCGTCTTGGGGCTCTCTTGGGGCTGATCAGGGGCTCTTAAAGGCCATCTTGGGCGTCTTGGAGGCCTCTTGGGCCGTTTGGGGGCCCTCTTGGGGCCGTTTTGGGGGCCTCTTGGGCCCTCATGGGGCCATCTTGGAGGCCTCTTTGGCGATCTTTGGGGCCTCTTGCGCCGTCTTCTTGAGCCGTCGGAATCCCGAGAAGAACCGCATGCCACAATCTTCCAAACATCATGGGGGACTCAATGATTTGGGCCTCGTCGTACCCTCCTGGAAGACCTCCTGGACGCCTTTTGGCTCGTCTTGGGGGCATCTTGGGCCGTCTTGGGCCATCTTGAGGCCATCTTAGACCGTCTTGTGTGCATCTTGGGCCGTGTTGAAGGCTTCTTAGGGCAATCTTAGCTGTCTTGGAGGCCATTTTGACCGTCTTGGAGGCCTCTTGGGCCGTCTCGGGGCCGTCTTGGGGGCCTCTTGGGCCCTCATGGGGCCATCTTGGAGGCCTCGTGGGCGATATTGGGTGCCTCTTGGGCCGTCTTGAGCTTTCGAAATGCCGAAAAGAAGCAAATGCCACACTCCGGCAAAAACTATAGGAAATCACTGCTTTTTGGCCTCTTAGGGCCCTCCTGGAGGACCTCTTGGAGGCCGTCTTGGAGGCCTCTTGGGGGCCTCTTGGGCCTTCTTAGGCCATCTGGGGGCCATCTCGGGCCGTCTTGGGTGCATCTTGGGCCGTGTTGGTGGCATCTTGGGGCCATCTTAGCCGTCTTGGAGGCTATCTTGGACGTCTTGGAGGCCTCTTGGGCCGTCTTGGGGCCCTCTTGCGTCCGTCTTGGGGGCCCCTGGGGCCGTCATGGGGCCATCTTGGAGGCCTCGTGGGCGATCTTGGGGCGATCGTGGGGGCCTCTTGGGCCGTCGTGAGCCGTCAGAAGGCCGAGCAGAAGCAAATGCCAAAATCTTGCAAAAACGTATTGAAATCAATGATGTTGGTCTCTTTTGGCCCTCCTGGGGGGCCTCTTGGAGGCCCCTTTGGCTGTCTTGGAGGCCTCTTGGGGGCCTCTTGGGCCATCTCGAGGCCATCTCAGTCCGTCTTGGGTGTATCTTGGGCCGTCTTGGAGGTATCGTGGGGCCATCTTAGCCGTCTTGGAGGCCATCTTGGGCCGTTGTGGAGCCGTCTGGACCGGAAAAACCTTTCGCAGCCGGGTCTGGGCAAATTTTCGGCATCCTTCCGGGTGGACGGGCCGAAGCCCTAGGGGGTTCTTTTGGACAAAAAAGACCAAAACCAAAACAACGCCAGGCACCCCTGCGATGAGTCGACAGGGGGCGGCGGACCTGGCGGCCTTCGGCCCGTCCCGCCACTGTGCCCTGGTCGTGGACCAGCCCCCAGACCCCCTCGAGGCACGACAAAGATCACGGCGGGCGGCTTTTCGGCCTCTGGGGGCCCTCGCTGGGCCTCGGGACCGTCAAAACACGACTCGGGATGAGAAGCTGGTCGCGGGCAAGGGTTAGGTCGGGCATGTCCTCTCACAGGCGGATTCCGGGCGAAACTCGAACAGTAGTGAAACAAACATTTTGGCATACTCCAACATCGTAGAAACATCGTGCCCAGGCGATGCTCGGACTGTGTTTGGACCGTGTCCGGATCGTCCTCCTGCAGCGGGGCAGGTCCTCTGGGGCTCGCCGCTGCGACAGAAGCCACGGCGCGTCGGGGGGGGCCTGGGCCCGTCGCCCCTCCCCCAGCGGGGCCCCGAGGGGGGGGGCCCCCGCAGTGGCCCGGGGCCCCGCGGCTGCCTCCGTGGGGCGGCCCCCTCCTGCCGGGCCGCTTCGGCGGGGGCCGTCTTCGGAGGGCCTCCCCGCCGGATGCCAAGCGGAGGGGGGCAGACGCCGACGACGACGACGACGACGACGACGACGACGACGACGACGACGACGACGACGACGACGACGACGACGACGACGACGACACTACCAGGGGGGGCACCTCCAGCGAGGAGGTCCACGAAGCCTCCCCGGGGTGGAGGCTGGGGAAGTCTCGAGCGAGAGGGAGCAGCACCACCAGGGAGACCCCCCTCAGGGCTCACTTCGATTCCTCCGACTCGATTCGATTCGACTTCGATGGATTCCGATTCCGATTCGATTCGACTTGGGATCCCGATGTGGGCTCCGATTCCTCAATGGAGGCCTGCCAGCCTGCCGATTTCCGCCGCCTCGACCTTTCCCGATTCTGCGGCCGATCTTCGCCGATCCGATTCATTTCGATCGCCGGTCCGACGCATCGATTCGATTCTGGGGCTCTCCTGCCCGCTCCTCGCATCTCCTCGCCCCGCTGGCTTCGGTCTCGCCCTTCCTTGCTCCCAGGCCAACAGAGAGAGCGTCGCCAGGGATTGATCCCCTGGGCGGGTTTGGCACGTCCGCGGGCGGATGTGGTTCGCGTGCCCCATACCCGCCACAGTCTGCAACACATCTTTCGACTTGCCCTATGCCTGCCGTTGGGCCCGCCACAGTCTGCGACACATCTTTCGACTTTCCTATGCCTTCCGTTGGGCTGCCTCCTCCTCCGCCTCCTCCTCCGCCTCCTCCTCCGCCTCCTCCTCCTCCGCCTCCTCCTC